CAACCTAGGCATAAATGTGAGACTCTTATTCAAAAAATACCTAAAGCAAAAAGGACTGGGGCATGACTCAAGTGGTAGAATGCCTGTCTGGCAAGCAAGCATAAGGCCCTGAATTCAAAACCCGAGCACTGCCCAAAAACAATAACACACAACAAAAGGAATAAACATAGATTAGTAGAGAGTCAAGGATATGGGAAAAAATAATAAGAGTGAACAGAACCTCAGAGAAATGCAGAATATTGTCACGGAGCAGTCGATGGTGCAAAGTTGACCATCAGTCAGGTGCTAAATGAATTAACTTAGGTAGGAACTAAGTTGCTCATACACACACTTTATTGTAGGGAGTTACAACCTATGCCGATAGTGCCTCAGCCTTCCTTAAGCTGTGCTCACCTTGCGACGTGAATCTTAGTCTGCTGGCGGCTAACTCCAAACTGGTCCTGGCTAGTTCTCTGTCTCAATACACCTCCAGGACACCCAGGGAATCCGACGTGCCGTGTGGAGTGTCCAGTCCACTTCGTCTGGGACTGTTCCCGATTGGCTTGATGTGTGTTGCTGGTCGAAAGGAAGTGATGTTGGTCTCGCAGCAAGTAGAGTTTAAATATTCATAGCAGGCTGGCTTATCCGCACCAGCTTAGGGTTAGCTGATCTGCATATTGGCACCAGCTTAGGGTTAGCTGATCTGCATATTGGCACCAGCTTAGGGTTAGCTGATCTGCATATCAGCACCATATGGTATTTGTTTACATCATAGGGCTTACAAGTGCACACAATATTGTTTTTCCTATAGGTTTTTACAATGTATTATATTTTATATACTTTTTCAGTATGTTTAATGAACAGCAAACATAATACTCATAACAAATACCATTTAGAGCACCATTCAGATAGCCAAAACAACCTTGAAAAAGAACAACAAAATTGGAGGTCTCCTACTTCCTAATTTTAAAATTTTACACAGCTACAATAACCAAAAGAGTGTGTCACTAGTATGAGGATAAACAGATAGATAGACTAAAATGGAGAGTTCAGAAATAAACCATCATATTATGTTCAGTTGATCTTTGAAAAGGGTGCCAAGATGCCTGGTGGAGTGGCTCCAGTAGTAGAGTACCTGCCAGCAACCGCAAGTCCCTGAGTTCAAACCCCAGTACCACCAACAAAATAAACCATAAAACAACAAAAGAGGAAACACTAATATATTAGGGTTCTCCAGAGAAACAGAACCAGTAGAATATGAGCGAGTATTAGATTGGCTTACATAATCAGAGGCTAAATAATCTCACAATGGCCATCTGGGCTGGAGAATCAGGGAAACCTGTAGTTGCTCAGTTCAAGAAGCTAGAAATCTCCAGAATGAGAGTTCGGGGATGCAACACCATCCAAATCTTTCTGGGGGCCTGAAAGCCCCCTGGAGAGCCACTGGTACAAGTTTACATTCAAAGACTGAAGAACTGGAGTCTGATGTCCATGGGTGACAGCAGCCAAAAAATACACCCATTCAAGAAGAGTCCTGTGTGAGCTAGCTTCGCTCTTTTTTGTTCTGTCTATGCCCCAAGTATATGGATGGTTCTACTCACATTGAAGGCAGGTCTTCCGCCCAGTTCACTGACCCACATACCATTCTTCACTAAAAACCATAGTTTTTAGTGACACACCAGACACTAGGCTTTGCCAATTTTCTAGGCAGCCTTAGAATGTCCAATGAGGCAAATCTATAGAGACAGAAGGTAGATTAGTAATTACTTAGGCTGGGGGTGTGCAAGTATTGAAGGGAAATGGGGAGTGCTGTTAATGAGTACAGGGTTCTTTTTTGGGGTGATGGTTGCACAACTGTGCATATACCAAATACACTTGGAATGGATGAGTTGGATGGTAATGAGAATTGTGTCCCAAAAAGTTGTTTTTTTAGGGCTGGCAGCATGGCTCAAACAATAAAGTGCCTGCCTAGCCAGTGCAAAGCCCTGAGTTCAAACCTTAGTACTGCCAAAAAAGGTTGTTTTTTAAAATTAGGAAGAAACTTAAGCCATTAATGTTAGAAAGGTGAATACAAGTCAACCTAAGGGAAGTAGATTCAGCTCTATTTCTTGAGCCCTGCAATAATAATTGACCATCTGCATATCTTTTTTCTCCTTCTCTCAGGACTCCATATCATCCATAGCCTAGATGAAGTTAATTTCATACAGAACCTTGTGTTTTACATTGAAGCTGCATATAAAACTGCTGTAAGTACTCATTTTGAAATGAGTTTTAAACATACAGTTTTGGTTCTAAAACACTGGGCAGCGTACTCTTTCTCTTAACGCTGCCCCTCATACTGAACTACTTTAAAAGGCTTCTGGCAGAAATCATCGTTAGTCTCTTTCTTTACTAAGATCTGTTATCCCCTATTTGCCTTCTTTCCAAGGCTGGTAGATAGGCAAGAAGGTTCAGATGCTGTACTTTAAAACTCCACATCATGGTACATATGTGGCATTCTGAGACTAAATTGTGGTTTTACTTGAATATTTTCAAGTCTTTTTTTTTTTTTACAGTACTGGGGTTTGAACTCAGGGACTTGCACTTGCTAGGCAGGTAAATAGGGTCTTTGTGTTTATGCCCAGGTTGGCCTGGGCATTTATACTTCCCATGCAGCTGGGATGACAGGTGCATGCCATACACCCAGCCTTTATTAGTTGAGATGGAGTCTTATAAACATTTTGGCTGGGCTGGCCTTGAACCTTTATCCTTCTGATCTCTGCCTGCTGAGTTCCTAGGATTATAAGCATGGAGCCATTGTACCTGGCTTGGTTTCAAGTCTTAAACAGGAAACAAGATGGCTAGGGAGTATTGTGGGCCAGTTGTATATGTAGAAATAAAATTTAGTCATGTGTTTAATGTTATTTGTGAGTATTGATTTAGAACTTATTATACAACAACATTTGTCTTTACAACTATCATTTGAGGTAGGTTCATATTAAATCATCATATATAGCATATTCTCTGTATAAAATGCTAGGTACTATATAGGAATGTGTGTTTTTTCTTCAGTCTAACATAAACAGTTTTTGTTGTTGTTGTTCATTGATACTTTATTCATAATCCCCCAAACTACAAATAATCCAAATATCCATCAACAGGTAAATGGATAAACAAATTTTAATATGTTCCATAAATGGGATATGGTTCAGCAATAAAGGCATGAACTATTGATCCATGCAACAATGTGGATGAATATCAAAGGAATTATGCTTAGTGAAGGAAGTCACACAAAAATGTGCATATTATATGATGCCATTAATATAAAATTCTAGAAATTTTAAAGTGATAGGAAGCAGATTTCTGGTTATCTCATGACAGGATCAGAGGAAAAGATAAATCGCAGAGGAGTGTAAGGAAACTTTTGGGGATTTTGCAAGTGTCCTTTACATAAATATAGGTCAAAATTAATCATATTTTTACAGTTTTAAATATGTGCAGTTTTATACACCACTGTACTTCAATAATGTAGAATTCATAAAGGCAGTCCCTCAAGACTATACTGGAAACTCACTGCCAGAGTCATCTTCTCTGACTGCTCCTTTGCCATGGTGATTTAGGCCTGTGGTGACACAGTACATCAAGGTGGGAGTGTGTGGCAGGGGGCTCCTCATCGTGGTGGCTTGGAAACTTAAGAGACAGAAAGGAACCAGGAATCCTAATATCCCCTTCAAGGGTACCCCCTATACATGCTATAACCTAACTTCCTTCTGCTAGAATCCCTATCCTAAAGGTTTCACCCTCTCCCAATAGCATCACAAATGCTTTCAAGCAAGCCTTTAACTCATGAGCTTTTAGGGACACTTAAGATCCATGCTACAGCAGTGTGTGCATGCATGCATGTACACATGTGCACATGTCTGTTTCCAAGTTCTGTTCAGTGGTGCTTAGAAGCAGTGACACCCAGTGACAGTGAACATACCATGTGCCTAGATCTTGGATTCTTAACTATCATTTTCTAATAAAATAAATCAGGACTTCTTACAGAATTGATTGATTCCAGGATTGGGGCAAGAAAAATACAAGATGAGATTGGAGCATTTTGTAATGTCAAACAGTGAAGAAATGCTCAAAAAAGAATAGGGCATGTCAAAAGAGCACAAGAAAACATCATGAATAACGTTAAAAAGGCATGGGAATCAACCTGAGAAGATACTCAATGGCCAAAGCTGGAACATTTAACAATTTGGGCAAGAAAAATAGTATTTTATTATAAACCAGGGAAAAAACTCTAAGTATCTATAAGTCCCTATCACTATTTAACTAATTAAACAAGGAAGAAATGACAGCCTTCCTTGGAGAAGATTGTAATTAATGATTGTAGAAGTAATGGAGAAATTAGAAAATCATCATTAAAATGCCTATGTAATAATTGTTGCAGGCAAGATCCACTAATGGATGTTGAATTATGGGTCGGTGTTTAAGAAGAAAGAGGATAATTTTGTAGTGTTAAATACCTCTCTCAAGATATTTATTAATCACAAAGGGAAAAACAGTAACAGTAGAATGGAGAAACTCAGCATATACCACCTTAACTAAGTGAAGAAGGTTAGTATCACCTATAATGAATCAGTCTCTTATACCCTTAATATAATGTACTAAGAAGGACCCAACAAACCTAAATTAGGGAAAATCTATAAAATACTTGGTCACTAATCTTCAAAAAGTGTCAAGGTCAGAAAAGCAAGACTTTAGGAACACCATTGATTGGAAGGCACTAAGAAGATATGACAAAAATGATGTGGAATTCTGGATTAAATGCTGGAATGTAAAAAAAAACACTATTAGTGAAAAACTATTGAAGTCTGAATAAAGTTCATAGTTTGGTTAATAATATCATATTGAAGGCTGATGGAGTCACTCAAGTAGTAGAGCACCTGCCTAGCAAGTGTGAGGCCCTGAATTCAAACCCCAGTACCACCAAAAAAAATGAGGAATAATATCTTATCAGTGTTGACAGTTTCACTGTTGGTTATGTTAGATGTTAACATTATGGAAAACTAAGCAAAAGGTATATGGGATCTCACTGGACTGTTTTTGCAACTGCTGTGTAAGCCTAAAATTATCTCAAAATAAAAAGGTTTAAAAAGTAACTTGAAATATTATTTTTATTACCAAGGAGATGTATAGAGCTATGGTTAAAAGTAGGCTTTGGGGTAAGAGAACTTGGATTTTAATCTTAGTTTTGTCACTTATTAGCTATGTGACTTTGGGTGAGTCACTTAAATTATCTTTGTAACCCAGTCTCATCATCTGTAAAATGTAAGGATTAAGGAAGATAATACATAAAGTATGTAGGTTGGTGCATAGTACATTGTCAGTGCAATAGAGGATAAAATCAGAATGGATGTTTAAGATAAAATACTGGGCTGCAGTTTAGGCTCCCTTTCTATTTTACCATAGCAGAGGATCTGCTGTGGTAAAAAATTTTGAGAAGTATCTCTAGTAGATGAACTGAGTTATAGTTGTTAGTTCTCCTGATTAACTGTTGAGGAGGCTTACAAATTTTTTAGAGGCCCCAATGGAATTTAAAGCTACTGAGAAAGTAATTGAAGAGGTCACACAGCTCATGGGCAGCCCTTGAATAAGAATTGTGGGTATGCATATGTGTGGTAAATTAACTACTGTTACTTTTTTTTATTTGAGGGTTCTGCATCTAGTGAGTGTTTAGTAGTTATGACTTACTAATGATATTTTGGCTATTCTATGTCAGGACTTTGGGATATGGGAACGTGGCGACAAGACCAACCAAGGGATCTCAGAATTGAATGCCAGTTCTGTTGGAATGGCAAAGGTAATTTTCCTTTCTTGTTTGCAGCAAATATGGGTCAAGGAAGTCTAATGTACCTCTGCCACAGATAAAAATCTTAATGTGCATATAGACCATCATCAAACTATTCTTTTAAACCACAGGTAAAATTTAGATTCTGCCATGGAATGTAGATAAAAACATTCATAAGCTCTAGGTTTGATATTCAATTGCCTTTGTGACATGTCTCTGTTCATATTTCCCATAAACAAAAGGAAGCTCTTTGTCCTCCATAGACCAATTGAACAAGCTTGATATCAAAGAACTATATCTCAATCCTCCATTTCTTTACTGTCTTTGTCTCCATATCACCACTATCATCATCACCACCACCTTTCTACTTGACTATTTTCATCTTATCTTCTTTTGCATAAACTAGGATAGCAGGAATAAGATCAAATATATCCATTATGATAAATAAGTGTGATTTAATATCGCCTACTTAAAAGTCAAAGAAACAGATTGATTTTAAAAAAGAAAAAGGAAATATAATATATTCTCCCTATACAGCAAAATGATACAGAAAGATTAAAAACATGACTAGGCAAAGTAAAGTCTGACAAAAATGAACAGGGGAGACTAATGTCAAATGAAATAGAATCCAAAACAAAAAGTGTCACAAGGAATAAAGAAAACAAAAGAGTCATGGGAGATTTTAAAAGGCACAGCATGTAATGAGAAAGTCTGGTCTGGAATGTAATTTCAACTAATACATAGAAAAATATATTAGAAATATAAAGTAAAAGAGAAATGATTATAAGAGAATAATTTCACAAAAAACATTGTCAGGCTATGATAATTCAGTAAACCAAAGATAAGATCATAGAAAATTTAAATCATGTAATTAATACAATTGCATTAATACATACATTTGGAACTTTGTACTTAAAAACATTTTATCCCTGGCTAAACTGTCTTTTTAATGTGCTTGTTTTTTGAGACAGGTATTTCAGTATGTTGCCCAGGCTGGTCTTGAACTTGCGATCCTCCTGCCTCAATCTCCCAAATAACTGGATTACAGACATGTGCCACCTGGCTTAACATATTTTTTGATTACTAGTGTGGTCTAGATATTGAGATTTTTTTTGCTGTACTGGGACTTGAACTCAGGACCTATGCCTTGAGCCATCCACAGCTCTTTTTTGTGATAGGATTATTCAAGTTAGGGTCTTTTGAACCATTTGCCTAGGCTTGCTTTGAACTGTGTGCTATCCTCCTATCTCTGCCTCCTTAGTAGCTAGGATAACAGGTGTGAGCCACCAGTGCCCAGCTGATTATTTTTAATATCTTACTATACTACTTCTGTGCAACCAAATTTTTTCATCAGTCTCATATGTCACTGACTGAACAAGATAACTAAATATCCTCCCAAGTAATTTCATACAGATAAAGCTAATTTATTATTCAGTTGCTGTGTAGTATTTAATAATTGCTGTATTGATGAAATTGTCTCCATTTTTTTACTATTGCAAATAATGGTTTTGGTGGTACTGGAGTTGAATTCAGGGCCTCATGCTTGCTAGGTAGCCACTCTACCACTTAAGCCATTCTGCCAGCCTTGCAAATAAATTTTTTCTTTAAAATGTTTCTTTTCTTATTTTGTTGTAATTTTTTTTGGTTTATTTTCAACTTTTATACACAAATCACGTTCCTAGAAAGCAGAGTAGAAAGCTTCTTTCCTCACACACATGCTGCTAAGGAAATAGTTTTATACATAGAATTTCAACAGGAGAGAGAAAAGAACAGAGAAGGAGGGTTGCCAGAGAGATGCTGAGAGGCAGGAAAAGAAGGATGGCCAGACTTAGTGGGTCCATTTCCCTCCCCATTGCTTACATTTGTAACTGGCATTTTTGGTATAAACAGAATAACTAGTTCTACCTTAGCAAATAATGTTTTAATGAAGATGTTTGTACATATATCCTGGTAACTTGAACAAATGTTTTCATAGTATAGGTCCTTGACCCGGAAGGGCTCAGGGAAGGAATGAACAGACAAGACATACAAAAGGACTCACTCAGGAAGGGAATGACAAAAACACATATTGAGAAGGAACCAGAAGGCTGGTGACCCAAACTGGCAAATTTTTATTTTTCTCAGCCAGCTTTATACAAAAGAAGAAGAGACTTAAACATCAAAAACACTCTGACCTAGTTACAACCTTTCTGTTTTTGCCACCCTGCATTCTTACTGCCAGTGTCCTTGACTAAGTATAAATTTCTTTATAGTCAAGGGAAACCACTTAGCATTCCTTCCCACCATGATAGAGGCATGGTGTACCTGCAGATTCCGACCTTGTTGGAATGTTTCTAAGCTACAGTGACCTTGTCAGACTGTGGCTTTTTGGTTCCCAACAGATAGGTTTCTAAAAAATGGAACCACTGAATTAAGGAATATAAACTTTAAAACTTTTCTCCAAAAGAATTTCCACTGTTTATTATTCTCCCTCTTACTGATGGGTATATACCATTTTCCTCAACCCTTACTAACTCTATAGTGTCAATAATTGGATATTTTTTCTAAATTTTTAGCCACTGAAATGGCTTTTTATTTTTTATTATATTTATTTAATCATTGTTTAATGGTGCCAGGACTCTAAACCAGGGCCTCAGCAACATGCTAGGCAAGTGCTCTACCACTGAGCTACATACATCCTCAACTCCTTACTTTTATTCTGAAATCATTTCAGACTGGAGAAAAGTGCAAGAATGGTGCAAAGAATTCCAATTACCATTCATCCAAGTTTCCCACCTGTTAATATTTGCTTTATCTTTCTCACTGTTTATATACATACAACACACACACAAACACACACACACACACCACACATTTTTTCTGAGCAGATTGAATTGTCAGTGAGCAGATAATGCCCCACTACTCCTAAATACTTCATTGTGAACTTCTTAAGACTCTTTTATAACTATGGTACAATCATCAAAATCAGGAAAAAAACACTAGCATTATACACACCACAGACCCCATTCAAATTTCTTTAATTGTTCTAATATGTCATTCATGGTAAAATAAAAAAATTATGATGCAGGATATAATCCAGAATAGCATGTTACATTTAGTTGTAATACCGCTTTAAGGCTTGTTTAATCTGGAACAGTACTTTGGTCTTGTCATTATTTTGAAGATACAGGCTAGTCTTTGTTTGTTTTATTTGTATGGTCTTGGAGATGGATTCTAGAGCCTTGAGCATGCTAATCACGTACTTACCACAGCAGATCCGCTTCACCTTTTCTTACCTGGCCCCAGGCCAGTTACTTTATAGAATGTTCCTCAGTTTTATTTTGTGTGGTATTTCTTCATGGTTAGATTCAAGGTATATGCTTTCAGCAAGAATACCTCAGAAGTGCTTTATCTATTATCAGGGAGCAGATGATATAAATTTGTCCTGTTACTGTTGATGTTGTCTTTGATCTCTTGGTATCTGCTGGGTTCTTCTGCAGTTAATGAGTATTTTGTGCCTGGTTGACTTTGTACTTACTATTTAGGTTTTAGTTTAGATGTCATTTCTTCAGGAAAGCTATCTAGAACTGCCTTCTACTCCCACATCTATGTCAGGTCAACATCATAATTGAGGAACTACAGATAACTAATGAATTTTTGAAATAATATCCAACCTTTTAAGCATTGCAATGCAATAAATATACCTTTTTATCAAATCAGAAAAAATTGAGATAAATACTTTATATTAAGGAAGGTACTGTCATGTACTGCTAGTGGTAAGTTATATTGGTATAACATGCATAAGAAGCAATTTAGTATTATGTCTCAAAAATTGTTCATACCCTTTGACCTAATGATTTTACTTCAGGGAAGTAATGCTTATAAAATAATGTGAAATGAAAACAGTTATTTGTTATCTTGACAACAAGCTTACTATATGCCATGCTGTGTGCTTGATATTGGTGAAAAATGCAATTCCTGACCTTAGGGAATTTATAATTTAGTAAGAAAGGTTTATCAAAGTGGTGTTTCTAATAGCACAAAATTAAAGACAATCTAAATTTCCAACAATTTCAAAATGGACAGATATACTTTATTACAGCTGTATGAGAGATTATTATGTTAAAATAGAGTTTATAACATGGAAAAACACTTATGCTTAATATTAATTGTAAAAGTAATATACTAAATGTGATCTCAACTATCTACAAGTATGCATAGGAAAAACTAAGAGGAAACATGTCAAGAATATTAACAGTGGTTGTTTTGGATGATCTTTTGCCCTCTTTATACTTTACTATGTTTTCAAAATACTATATAAGAAGTATATTTTAGTTTTAGGATCAGAAAATATATTTTTAAAGTGAGAAATTAATAAGTAAATTCTATTTTCAAAAAGCATGATGATCTCACTTAAAAAGTCAAACTCCTAACTAAAAGTTAGAGAGTAAAATGGTAGTCTCCTGTGACTTGGGTATAAAAGAAGGAGGAATGAAGAGTTGTTGGTCAAGAGGGTACAGAGTTTCAGACAGACAGGCAGAATAAGTTTTGAGATCTATTGCCCAGCAGGGTGACAGTCGACAATATTTTAAAGAAATGGAAACTCATCTTTTACCTTGATAATTAATACATTCATTTTAAAAGTCAAATATAGAGGCAGGCACCAGTGTAATCCTGTAATCCTAGCCTATAATCCTAGCTACTCAGGAGACGGAGATCAGGAGGATTGGGATTTGAAGCCAGCACAGGCTATCACAAAATAGGCCTGGCAGAGTAGCTCAAGTAGTAGTATCTGTTTAGCAAGCATGAGGCCCTGAGTTCAAACCTGAGTACCATCAAAAAAAAGTAAAATATGGTAACTTCCTAGAGCATCTGCTTTCTCTGTGGAAACTCAGATATATGGCAAAACCTCATGGTTGTTGATTTATCTTGCGCAATACAATTTTTAGTGCTTTCTTTATGCCGGTATCTTAGTTGGAGTTTCCTGCCAAAAGAATGATTTACTATGAATTCATGTGCGATCTTCAAATTATTTTTGGCAGTACTGGGGTTTGAACTCAGGGCCTTGCACCTACTAGATAGGCTCTCTACCACTTGAGCCATGCCCCAGGCCACCCTTTTTGCATTTTTGGGTTTTTTAGTTATTTTTCAGATAAGATCTTTTTTGCCCAGACTGGCCTCAAACCATGATCCTCCTTGCCTCCTAACTGGGATTATAAGTATGAGCTACCATACCCGGTCCTCACATTATTTTTAAAATATGCTGTTTGACTTGATAGTGTTACAGACTCCATTTTAACTTTCTTTGGGACAATATGAGAGGCAAAGTAAAACTTGAAGCCTCTGGGAATAAAGAATGTTACTGTATTTTATGTCAAACATGTTCAAAAGTGACATCATGTAAATTGATAAGATACAAGAGTATGAGAAGAAATGTATAATGTTCTTGGGGTTTTGTGTATGTGTGTGTGTGTTTGTTTTTTGTAGTACTGGGGTTGAACCCAGGAATTTGTGCATGCTACGCATGTGCTTTACCACTAAAATTGTCCCTTCTTCCATTGCTCCTCACAGGCAGCCTAGAAGCACTAGATGAACTGGACCTGTTCGGCGTAAAAGGTGGGCCCCAATCAGTTATCCATGTCCTGGCTGATGAAGTACAGCACTGCCAGGTAAGAAAATGATGAACCATGTTATAGCACATTGTATTCTTGCCCAAACTTAGCATGGGCTTTAAATTAAGGAGAGCTAAATAACAGTACATCTTCTGATTTATATGCCAAGAAATGTTTTTATCAAGCATCCTTTACTGAAGTAAGCCTGATAGAGCATGGGCTATAAATATATCATAGTCCTATTTTCTCACCCAAAGTTATAAAAGGATCCCGCTATAAGTATATGAAATTCTTCACTGCTGTTATATCAAGGAGTTATCATCTCTCTTCCTGAGAATCTTCTTTTCTTAATATACAAAGAAAATAAGAGGTGATTGATTTTGATTGTTCTCTGTAGTGGCTCTGAAACATTTTCTTGTCCCTGGTTGGCTCCAGGTTTATATGTTTTGAGATATGTTTTGAGATTATACTGTTAATGTGATAAATATGCATCTACAGTTTTGTTTAGGATTGCTCTCTGTGTTTGAAAGATTTCAGGTTCTTCTCTCTGGCATGATGAGTTTTCTCCTTTTCTTCAAACCCTGATTAGATATTCATAGTGAATACAAACTCACCTTCTAATTTTAAAAACAAAAAATTTTCCATGGAAAAATATGTCAGAGGCATAGTTGCTGAGCCTTCCCTATTCTGCTTCGTAGCAGCTCCATTTTGTCTTAACTCTGTTCTTAAATAACTGCTAATGAAACAATAGGACTGTTGGCAGGATAATGATGTTAGAGTAGTCTTTATCCATGAGCAGCGTTAAAGAATCAAGATGGGGAAGCAGTGAGATCAGGATAAGAAAAGGATGACTTATCAAACAAGCTAGTTTTCTAAGCTCTCACTATTGAATAATGTTCACATTTTCCAAAAAGCTCTTCTTCCTCATAAATCTTTTGAAACTAAAGTTGTTAGTTTTATAATGCTAAGGTATTTACTAATATACCACATTTTACTTCCTTTTACTTAGTCTATCCTTAATTCGCTCCTGCCCCGGGCTTCAACATCCAAAGAGGTTGATGCTAGTCTGCTGTCAGTGATTTCCTTTCCAGCCTTTGCCGTTGAAGATAGCCAGTTGGTAGAGCTCACAAAACAGGAGATCATCACCAAGCTTCAAGTATGTCCATACATCCCTTTCTTCTGTTAGGGCTGTGACTTTGAGGGGAGATAAGTACCTTTATAGACCTTGAGTAGAACCTGTAGTAGTGATTTCAAGAAACCTTTCATTTTTTTTTCTGAGTTGTCCTCTTTTAAGTAGTTTCTTTAAAAAATCCATTAAGGCTTCCTACACTCATTATTGGTGGGAATGCAGAATAGTACAAACACTTTGGAAAATAGTTGGCAGATTCTTGTAAATTTAAGCATACACCTACCATGTGACTAAACAAACATTTTACTGCTATAAAAGTAAAAATGTATGCTACAAAAGTCTATGCACAACTGTTTATAGCAGCTTTAGTGACAATTATAAAAACCTGGGAGCCCTCAACAGAGAAACAAATAAATTATACAACATCTTGGTAGAATACTTCTCAACAGTGAAAAGAAACAAGCTACTAATCTATATGGCAATGTGGATTCTTAAGTGCATTTTGCTAAGGGAAAGAAGACCAGACCCCAGAGACTATATATTCTATGATTCCATTTATGTGACACTCTGGAAAATACAAAACTAAAGGCAAGAAAACATATTAGTGGTTGATAGAGGTCAAGAGAGATTGTCTATAAGATATAGCTCTGGAGAACTTTGAGGGTAATAGAATGGTTTTCAATGGAACTGTGCTGGTAGACAAATGACTATATTTTTGCCAAAACCTGTAAAATTGCATAGTGTGGCAAACTGGAAAGTGACTATATTATACATGAATTAAATGATCACATTGAAGGGGGTAAGAAAGTTGCTGACCTATGTCTAGAAAAAAAGTCTTGTGTTTTGACTATATACTATAAGCCTAAACTACAAACACCATGTTGTATTTCATAGGTCAGCAAATGAACCTGTTAGCTGGCCAACTGTTCTTGTAAATAAAGTTTTACTGGATTTCAGCCCAGCTCTGTTTATATATCATGTACTGTTGCTTTCAAGGTACAACAGCAGAGCTAAGTAGTTGCAACACAGGCCCCGTGGCCTGTAAAACTTAAAGTATCTATCATCTGGCACTTTAATAAAAAGTTTGCCAAGCTCTGCTCTAGTTGGTAAATTGTTTCTCAAAAAGAATGAATTAGAAATTCTGAAGCTATTTGTATACAAGGGCTGAAAATATAAGTAAAATGTAGTATATAATGAGACCCAGTTTTCTCACTGTTGAAGAAAAAGTTACAAATGGGGTTTGGAGAAGGCTAGAATGAACCCTGTGATATTGGATGGGAGTAGGTGGTATTAGAGTGAACTTGTCTATATTTAATAGAAATGTATACCTACCTGTTTATGTTTCCTAGCTTTGTCCACTGAGAGAGGTCAAAGGCAATAAGCATATCTACTGTTGTCTAAATCTTGATTTCTAAATATTACTCCCAGTAAAAGGAATCAGGCATTCTTGGAGAAACAGATGATTTGAGAGAAGGTACAAAAGGATCCTGAAGCATCTTATGGCTTCAGAAAGTAAATAAGAGCTCAAAAAAGGATGAGACATGTCAAAGGGACACAGAATCCACTTGGAAAGTACTCTAATGGCCAAAGCAGGAACAATTTGAACAACGAAATGATTATGAAAGCATTAGAGTACAACCCAAAGAATAAATTAAGTATCCATGAGTCCATACTGATATAAATAACTGAAAAAATGAATAAATGAGAAAGAAGAGATAAATCTTCCTCATAGGAGAATTTAATTAATAAATGTTGAGGAAGTGAAGGAAACACAAAGTTTCCATTGAGCACACAATACAATAGCAGTTGCTTCAGGAGAGATCTATTTATGGATACTAAAAGAGGTGGATGAAAGTTTAAGCAGTAAGAGGATATTTGCGTAGTCTCAAAAGTATCCCCCCCCCAAACATTTAATAGTTCTAAAAGAGAAAATTACAGAGAAGAAGCCCAACAGACACCACTTTAACCAAGTATCAGGGTTAACATCACCAGTAATAGGACACATTGACATCATTTACTCCTGATATAGTGCACTAAGAAGGGCACACTGCCTATGTGGTGCCCTTTCCATTTGTGGATGATCTCAATCTCATCATGAGAAAAAGTCAGATGAAACAAAATTGCTGGACATTCCACAAAATAACTGATTTCAAAAGTGTCAAGGTTATGAAAAACAACAAAGACTGAGGAACTGTCATAGATTAGAGGAGACAAGGGAAACATGATCACTGAATGCGGTGTGGGACTCTGAATTGGGCCTTGGGACAGAAAAAAAGGACATTAGTGAAAAAATGGTGAAATCCAAATAATTTGTTTACCTTGGTTAATAGTATCATACCAAAGTTAATTTTTAGTTCTGATATATGTGCTATGATTATGTTAATATAAGTAGATGGGGGTTGATGGATATACTGGTACTCTATTGTTTTTGCAACTCTTCTGAAAATCTAAAATTTCAAAAATTTAAAAATGCATTTAAAAAAGTCTATGAACTGTGTGAGCTGTGAGAAAGGACCACCTAGATTAGTAATTAGGCTGACATAGTTTTACCCTAAGGTGGACAGTCATGGAGAAGATACTGTTAGGAGCACTACTTTAGGGAAGAGCCTATAAAATAGCCCTTACTTGAAATCACATTGCTGAAATCAGTTTCTACTGCTTGGCTGATTTCAGAAGTTTTATTTTTATTTTTAAGTATCATGTCTGTATTGGTGAGAGATTAGTACATGTAGATGTTTCAGAGGCTATATTTCTGATACACCTTTACCAATGTAGACATTTCTGACCTTTTTTCTCTGTGTTCCCAGGGTCGTTATGGTTGCTGTCGTTTTTTACGAGATGGATATAAACTCCTAAAGAGGTAGGTTTTTTTCCTTCCAAAATCAACACATAATAGAATGGTTCTGTTCTTTATAGTCTCTTTCAGAGAGAATACTTACCTCACTGATGGTACTTATGCACATCACTAAATAGGATAGTGATAATTGATCTTTGCTGTATTTGTTGGGTTTCGCTGCCAACTTCTTATGTTGTGGGCCTTTCTGAACTAAATAAAAGAAAGGAGAGTTTAGTCCTTCCACCTCTTGTGGTTTATTAATTTCAGGCAAAAAACTACTGATGTATGCTAAAATCAGTGACAGAAGTTTAAGCAAAACAATATTTGCATAGTTTCCAAGTATCTCCCCGAATATTTAATTGTTACAAAGGAAGAAATTTTTCTATCGGTGCATTTTTCCGACCCGTCTTAGTCCATTTTTTGTAACTGATAATACAATATCCTAAACTAGTGAGTTGTAGAGAAAAGGGGCTTATTTATTTTGATACTGGGTCAAAGGTCCATATCTAGTGATGACCTTTTGCTGCCCGAGTCTCAAGGTTGATACAGGAGACAAGGAACACTAGCCTGTCTGTATGTCTCTCTGGTCTCTCTCCCTCTTCTGTTAAAGCCACCAGGATTTAGTTATGGGGGGGCTCTACCCTTGTGACTGTGTTAAATCATAATCCCTTCCCACAAGACTCATAGCTGGATTAAGTTTCCACCCTCTGCATACCTCACAATGGGGATTAAATTTCAAAACATACAGCCTTGTGGACATACTCAAAACAAATCTAAAATGTATATGTTTTTGCAGTTGGTTAGTTCTAAACAGCAGTTGATTTTGAAAAAGGTTAAGTTCCTTTTGTTATACTAGTTAAAAGTTCTCCTTGGAAATATCAATGGGGAAAGATAAATATTAAAGGAAATTACTGATCAATATGAAACACTTTCATTGGTAATGTAAACATTATTTAAGGCTTAGATGAGTTGGTCAAGAGCCATTATGATTTTTTAAATCAAGGTCAAACTCTTCTGGTCTATTTCCTTCTTTTCCACTTTAGTCCCGATGTGACTTCTGTTCCTACCAGTCTACTAAAATTATTCTCTGAAACATCATGTGTTCCTAAGTGATCAATCCAATAGCCTTTTCTCAACCCTTAATTTACCTTGATTTCTGTATAGCACATCACTGTTATTGGTATACCCTTACATTTTCTTCAAATTCTTTTCCTATTTTAAATTTCATAGCACTATGCTCTCCTGATTCTTTTTTTCATCCTTCCCTCACTCCACTCTGAGGATTTATCAATATTCCATTTGTGGGCATTTTGCTTATTTTATGTAATACTTGTTCACAAAGCTCATTTATAACTTGTGTTTCATGTTTCAGCTCTATGAAGTTTATTCCCAAACTCTCTTCTCTAGCTGCCCTTCTAAGCATTTCTATTGGTATATGCTGCTACTACTTCAAACTTATTAAGTATAAAACCAAACTCAACTTTATTACAAATGAATGGTATTTCTTCATATACTGTCCTATAATGTCATTATTATACATCCCAGTTCCACTAGTTAGAGGACACCTCATAAAGTACTCTTGCTGAAGGAGGGGAAGTCTGTACATGTGTTTGCTGCCTTCCCTGGCCACCTTCTCTGAAACAGTTAGTAATGAAAGGCTGTATTATACCTCTGAACTAAAGATGTACATATAACCTCTGTATGATAAGACAGACTTTGTTTATTATGTTTTTTTCCCCCCAGGATCCTAATCGTCTATACTATGAACCAGCTGAGCTGAAGCTATTTGAAAACATTGAGTGTGAATGGCCATTGTTCTGGACATACTTTATCCTTGATGGAGTCTTCAGTGGCAACACAGAACAGGTAATGAGCTGGGGAAAACTTTTTAGCAAGCTGTTCTTGTTATATCTTCCTCTTTCAGTTAATGGCTATACCAACCCTATGTCCAAAGGCAAGTCTCTTTAATAGGAAAGGAACAGAATTGTCCCTTAGAAAGTACTAGCTGAGGATACTAAATTAAGAGTTGGGAGACCCAGATTTTTTTGGCCTCAGTTTGACCATTGAGTAGTCCCAGTATTGTTGTTGACTTCTTTACTTTCTGTGTTTGTGAGAATAATTTTTCTCTCTTCATTAAAGGAGATATCAAAAATTTTTTAAATATTTAAGGAGATTATAATGTTAACTATCCTGATTTGATCATTACACATTGTATACATACATTGAATTATCACACTATACCCCATAAATTTGTACAGTTAAAATAATTTTTACTGGGTGTGGTGGTGCATGCCTGTAACCCCAGCACTCAAGAGGCTAAGGCAAGAGAACTGTGAGTTCAAGCCATCCTGGGTAGCAAGACCATGTCAAAAAAATAATTCAAAAAATATATCCCTAAAGTAATTGAATTTTACATATTGAGAGTTTAAGGTACAGTCATTTCTGCTATAATGAGATTTTGTATTTCTAAAAGAGTTACCATACTACACATAATCAAGAAATAAAAAACTACAGAACTTATAGAAAAATGGGGTGAGGGCATAGCACCTAAAATGTAAGTAACAGAATGGTAGGAACCTAGTAAAAACAGTGTTACAATTTCCTCCATGTTAAATGGTTAAGAAATAGATTAGTACCACAATAGTTACGGTACTTTTACCTTGAAAAAGACCTGAAGTTGGTTTGTGGAAGTGTGTGCCTTTGTTCCTGCCAGTTCATCTGCCTGGCTCTTATGCCCACCAGCCTGTGTGTGTAAGAGGAAGAAAACAAAAGAGAAATAAAAATGAAAAAGAGAAATTAGAGAAAAAAACATGAAAAAGAGGAAAAATTTAAAAACAGGCTGAGCAGAAAGGAAGGGCAGATCAAAGGCAGCAGTGTCCATTAAAGGCTTGTAAGTTAGGTTATCTAAAGTTGGATAGAAAGCTATAACAGCAGATGTGGATTGGTGTGGTTCTTTGTCCTCCAGAGGTATGTGCATTTGAGTGTATTGAGTGCATTTTCAGGATGAAGTTGTTTGTAAGCAAACATGAAATTCCTGTTATGCTCAAATTGTTCCCTAATCTGTCAAATGCATTAGAACAAATTAGTGTTTTTACCAGTATCAAACTGATAATACTATGAACTTAATAAATGCTTGTTACATACCAAATATCATGAGCTCAAGCTATTGTGTTATAGCAGAACTGACTATATTTTTCTCATCATAAATTATGTTTTATTTTGTACTTTTTATGAACCCAGGGTCTCCTACATGCTAGGCAAGCACTCACTGAACTACCTCCCCAGCCTCTGCCTGTTTTTTAACATTTTATGTATTGCTAAGTTTCAACAAATTGTTAAGTAAGAACATAAATCTGACCATACTAGAAACTTAATTTACCAAATTAAAATGCAGTTTTTAAAAGCCAGTATCCCCTAAAGACAAGGTAATGGATCATACAGGAGTTTGGAAACAGGCTGACTTGGGCTAAACTCTGAACTCAGCCATGTACATGCTCAGTGATCTTGCATAAATTCAGAACCTCTTCAAGGCTTAATTTCCCTGTAAAAAGCCTTCAGGTACACATACCTGCTAGGGTATTTGTTAAAATTAAATGCATTAAAATATGCAAAAGTCCTAGCATGATATTTGGCATGTAACAAGCATTTATTGTGTCATTCCCTTTTCCTTTCCCTTTTGCTTGGTTAAATAAGATCCCTTGCAATAGTGCCTTCTTTGGCTATAGCCTTCTCCTAGGTCCCCACAGGAAGTCTCTAAAAGTTTTTTATGCCTTTCTTTTCTCTGCAGGTTCAAGAGTATAGAGAAGCTCTTGATGCAGTCCTCATCAAGGGCAAAAATGGAGTCCCACTTCTGCCAGAGTTGTATAGTGTTCCTCCTGACAGAGTGAGTTGAACAGTGCTGGAAACCAACAAGAGAGGAGCGCATTTCTATAAGACTGCCTCATTGGAGTCAAATATTTTAACCTTCTGATTTTAATGTTCTGAAAGTTCAAGTATAAGTTAATACAGCTATGATTCTTATTCCTTTAGAAATAAGTTGTTAAAACAGTCTCCATTATGGCACTGTTGAACAGTGAGATAATGTCAGGGTGGTTCTGGAGTTTGAAGTCAGGACCTCATGCTTGCTAGGCAGGAGTTCTACCACTTGAGTCACTCTGCTGGCCCTTTTTTGCATTTTCAAGATAGTCTCTTGAACTGTTTTCCTGGGCTGCTTTCAAGCCATTATACTCCTGATCTCTGACTCCTGAATACCTAGGATTACAGGCATGAGCCACTGGTGCTAGGCCAAGGCCAAATCTGGATGCTGAAAATGATGTAGACATCAGTAGGTAGAACCAGAGTGATGGGCTGGTGGAGTGGCTCAAGTGGTAGAATGCCTGCCTAGAACCAGAGTGATGTTCTGTACATGTTGTCAGGATTTCAAGTTCTTTCCTTTGAGGCCAGTAATCCAGAATTGTTTGAGTAGATCAGGGTTGGAAAATGAAGTATGTTCCGTCTTTATTTTTCCAAAATGCCAGTCAGGCACTGTTCCTCTTCTCCATTGTGAAAGAGCATTAAACATGTGAGAGAGAGGGTTTTTCATTCTGATAGGAATGAGGAGAATAAGTAACATCAGCAGTAGCATCTGAGAGTTTGTAAATAGCTTTCAGGCCCTCCTTCATACCTACTCAACCAGAAGCTGCATTTAATAAGGTCCTCAGGTGATTTTATACACATTACAGTTTAAGGAGCACTGCCCTGGTAATAGTGCCTGTGTGACTATACAGGGTACAAATCACAATCCAGGCTCTCTTTTATTGTCTAGTATCTTAGCTTGTATTATCTCTCATCTGGCCTCTTCATCCTTTCATGTAGGTTGATGAAGAATATCAAAATCCTCACACTGTGGACAGAGTTCCCATGGGGAAGTTGCCTCATATGTGGGGTCAGTCTCTATACATTTTAGGAAGCTTGATGGCAGAGGTAAGGGGAAACTTCAAGACTATCCCACCTGTTTCTCCCTTAGTCAGTATAATAATCAGATTTGTAAGTAGCTCATTAAATCTTTTGCCTTTTGTACTTTGCCTTAATTACAGCTTTTCCTCTAGGTCCTCAGAGTGGGGAACATGGCCAGCCCTTGGCAAAAATCTCTTGCTCCCTGGCAACCATGTCCCTCATGCTGCTGAGGACTCCCTACTTTGGCACTGTACTTGGAGCTGATCAGAAATCAAGTCCTGGATCTTTCCCTTTCAAAACTCCCCTCATTGCCTTACCTGGAAACTAAATGCAATTGTGCTTAGATAGTAATTACTGATACTGAATTAGGTGTTAGCCTATCCAAGCAACAAAATGTTTCATCCCTTAATTGAATTAGCTAGTCATTTTAGGCACTCTGACAAGTGATAGGAACACTGTGGTCTATTTGTTTGGTTGGGGTAGGAGATGGTTGTTTGTCTACTTTTTGGTAAGGAGCGCTCTAAATGTTCATTTTATCAAATTCTGTTGAGACAGCCATTAATGAGGTATTTATGACTTTATGTCCAGCTTTTTTTGGCTTTTTGAATCTTTATGAAAGAATTCTCTTTCTCAGAAGTTTTCCATATTTACTAGAAAATCTATGTCCCTACTATAAGTTATTTTTATATAATATAATTCAAGTTCTTAGAGGATCTAATTTAGGTCTTAGCTGTCCCATTGGAGCCAGATTCTTTGACCTGTTTTTATATTACCATTTGTACTCTAGAGTTGTTTTTGTTTTTTCTGTGGCCATGGCTGTTTGATTATCTTTAGTTGACATGAACATGAATCTAGCAGTAATGTGCAGAATGTTTTGTTTAAACTTATCCTTATCCAGTGGCTTTCTCATCCAATTATAATAAATTTAATGAAAAAAGGAGGACATGAGTGGCATTATTAAGGACAAAATAGGTGAGTTCATAGTATTTCATAAAAGGATAGAAATTCAAGTCAAAGCATTTCTGCTGAACAGAAAGCACAGCAGACACATGGAAAAATGAAAAAAAAAACCAGAACTAATGGCTTAAATTATAACATGCATTGTGATGTAATCATTGTAATGTGTGTCATAATATTCAGAGAAGACAGAATAATAACCAGAAACCTTATTTATTTATAATTTTACCCCAACCTACTTCCAAAAAATAAGGATTTGTGGTAGCTACTGGCAATGAACTTCAGATAAAATTAATTTGAATGCAAATTCCAGAAGTTCAGACATTTTCATTCAGAAAAGGTGTTTGTTTCCTTTCTGATAATTGTTTCCCTTAAACCATTAGCTTTACTTTTAGGAATTGATAATCTCTTTTTTTATTTGAGACAGGGTCTCTATGTAGCATAGAGGGCTGGCCTTGAACTCATAATCATTCTGCCTCAACCTCTCAAGTGCTGGGATTACAGGTATGTGTCACCATCCCTGGTCTTAGTAATCCATTTTTTATGGGTTTTCTTTAGGGATTTTTAGCTCCTGGAGAAATTGATCCCCTGAACCGTAGGTTTTCTACTGTACCAAAGCCAGATGTTGTGGTTCAAGGTATGTATTCTTATTACCAGCAGCAGAAACTTTATATTAAAGGTCTGGTTAGAGGCAGATATTTTTCAGCTAGTAAATTATGGCTTTATTCTTCATCTTGCATTTTGTTAATCTTCAAAAAATATATAATAAATTTGGTTCAATTTGGCTTCAAAATTACTGATAATCTTAAGCAAATGAATGATGTATGATTTTAGAGAATCCCAAAATATTCTTTGACACTCCTTATTTCTAGAAATTCTTTTCTTTTAACTGTCATGACATTTTAATCTCATGGTTAACTCTACTTTCTCTCTAACCACTTTCTGATAGTACTTTTTCTTTTTATAACTTCCTGTTGGTTATATACTTAGTTTCATACCTTTGTCTTTCTGTGTTTATATGCTGTGTAGTATTAGCTTACAATGCTACCTCCTTCATAATAAATTTACTTCTATTACCTCTTTGTGGAATATCCCTAACCTTTATTTTTGTTCCTAAGAGTCAACTTAAATTTGCAGGCATCTACTTGGTGCAAAATACTGAACTGAGTTCTATAAACATATTGAGACTTCCAGTCCCAGTATCTATAAAACATTTCTACCACTTACACTTCAAACTTAAAATTGATCTCTTCTGTCTTCATCCCACCTTTCCCCCTTCATTCAATGATACCACTATTCTAGTTTCCTGGGGTAGAAATCTTGAGGTGATTTTTGACTCTCCAACATCACTATCCAATATGGTAGTAAGTAGTGCTGGGAAGTTGCTTTAAAATATATCTAATCACTTGACTTCAGGATTGATTCTTTATGGAAAATAATCCTGTCTTTTTTCTGAATCTTCTTATACTTGGCATTCTATGTAGTCATAGAGTTCTTGCTTATCAGTGTCTTTAACAAACATTTGATAAAGACCATTACTCTTCCCCTCCCATGAAAAAGCTTGTTCTCAATATATGTCATCCTGTTATATTGATCTCCTGGTTGCTTTAATTCATTCATTGAAGACTTTGAAGCTCAGCTCATAGCCTTCCTCTTCCTCCCCAAATTCTGCATACATCTAGATTTCAGCATCAGTGTAGATCTATTTCATCTAACACTTTTATACTCAACATTCTTGGAAATCCATAACCTTAATACCCTTTCCCTCCACTCCAAGGGGCAAACTTTGTGACCACTGCACCTCAGATATCTAAAATTCTACTAGCCACATGTTACTTCAGCTTTCTTTTAACTTCCCAACTTGTTTCAGTTTTCTCCCTAGTCTGCCCTTCCCTACATCATGGTCAGTTATCTAAATTCCTCGTTTACTAACGAACTATACTTCTGCTAAACACACTAGAAAAATTTCAGCCCTAGATTAATCTTACAGCCTACAATTTCTGATCTTATATCTGCCCTGCTAAAAGCTACTGTAAAAAAAATCACACAAATGAGCAGAGTGGTGACATTGGAAATACATGATCTCCAACTCAGCTTTCTGTTTGCTAGTCCTTGTTCTTATCATTAGTCAGCATTTTCATTCTTCACAAAACTATTCCAAACCTTCTCTGTTTTCAACTCTACCCCTTGTTTTCAGACTAATTCTTGGCCTGCTACTTCATGCCAGATCATAATATTCTGATCTTTGTCAGTTTCCCAACTATTCTCATTCCAGTAATCTTACTTGTCCTTCCCTCCTTTTCTCTAGTCTTAGAAAGAAAAATAGTGTTAATTCTCTTATCCAAGGCCAACTCCCCCTTCTGATGCTTGATCCTATCCTCTTCTCCGGCCTTCTCTAGAAGCTTGCTTTGTTGAAATATTCAAATTTTGATGCTCTGTTTTTTTAAGCTATTGACATGTTCATCTCTCTCTAGTTATCCTTTTAACTTCTTCTTTTCTCATCCAAGCATCTTCATATTCTATTCATTCTTTACTCCTTTATATCCTGATCTGTTGCTATGAAAATATTCTCAGTTATGGTTACCAGTGATCTTTATATTGCCAATTTCAGTAAATATTTTGTATCTGTATCTTAGTTGATCTTTCATTTTATCATTAATCTTTTTGGAAGATCTTAATTCCCATGTTTTCTGTGATGCCATACTCTCTTGGGTTTCCTTCAACCTGTATTAAGCACTTTTCTGTCTCCTTGTGGCCACCTTCTTCTCTTTGCCCCTTAACTATTGCTATTCCTAGAAGTTCTGACCTTAGCCCACTGCTCATTTTGCTCTGAAAATTTGCTCCTGTTTCTCAGCCTCTTTCTATTCCAAACTTTTCCCCTTTTCCCACCTCTATACTTCTTTCCTTACTCTAAGGAGCTCTGAGAGCTCTTACTCTCTATGTCATAAAGAAAATATAAGCCAAGAAACAAGAACCTTCCCAACCTATTCTAGCCTTTATGTTATCTGCCCATTCCTTATTTTTTGGATTTTTTTAAGGTTATATTCCAGGTCCTCTTCTCTTCACATTTTCCTTGACCCATCTCATCTCTTTCTGTGCTAATTATTCATGAATCTATAGTGACCTCCTTTAAGATAGCCCCACATGGATGTTTCCCATGCACCATAGACTCAGCATGACTAAAATTAGTCAGCCACACCCTCCTACTACATCACCCATACCTGTTGTTCTTCCTATGCACCTATATCATTAAATGGTACATTGTCCTCCCAGTTACATAGCTAAACACCTGGGAAATCTTTCTCAGTCCAAGATTCCCTTTCTCTTTCACTTCCTGCATTCAGTCAGTTAACAAATTCTAGCTTCTTTACTTCTCAAATAATTCTGAAATCCCCCAGTTTTCTACAGTACCAATAGCATGATCCTAATGTAGGCTATCAACATCTCTCCCTTACCCTATAGCAATTATTTTTTAGCTAATCCCACTGTCTTCAGTCTGAGCCCACTACATTTTATCAGTTTATTGTTTTGCTCTTTAAACTTCTATAGCTCAGATATGGAAGTATCAGTTTATACTTTAATTATCGATCTAAATGTGCTCTTTTAAAGATGCAGCCATATTATGTTAGTCCTCTGATTGCAATTTGGCAGGAGCTTCCCATTGCCAAGCTTCCTTAATATGGTTTACAAGGCTTTTCATGATCTAACCCCTGACTTTGTCTCTTGTTTCATTTCTCATCACTACCCATTCACACTCCATGTTCCTCCTATAAAAAACTTTGCATGGGTTGGAGATGTAGCTAAGTAGTAAAAGATACTTGACTAGAGTGTGCAAAGCCCTGGGTTCATTCCCTGACACCATGAAAAGCAGAGCAAAAAAAAAAACCTTTTAATAATTTCTAGATCTGCCTTGTTTCTTTGCTCTCTCAAGCTTTTGTCCATGCTGTTTCTATTGTCTGGAACAATTTCTCCCTTTTGCCATCACCTCTACTGTAGCAGGACTCATCATGTCTATGTGTCCCTAGCATCTGGCAGTGCTTAGCACATAAGAAGCACTAAATAAGAACTTTCTGAATACTTTATAAAATAAAAAAACTGAGTTGCTTGGGTTGAGTGTACTCCTGGAGTCCCAAAGGGCTATGTATTTGACTCTCCTTTAATCCCTTCTACTCCTTTTACCCTCTGCAGAACCCTGAAGCGCTGTAAAAACCAGTCTGGAAATCATTGCCCAAGGATAATAGATAAAAATCCTTAATATGTATGCCCTCCATAATGATTTAACCTATCTACCTTTCCACATTCATTTCTTTTGCCACTATGTGAGGTCCTTCATGCTATGGCAACATTAAAGTGTATGTGACTCCCCACCCCAAATCCCCCCTTAGAAGCACACTTTTCATCTTTGGACCCTCTACCTAGAATGTGTATCCCCTTCCTATCTACTTTCTCCTAGCTACCTTATTCATTCCTTCAAACTCAGTTAGGCATCAGTTCTTTCAGGATGCTTCTCCTAAAACCACTGTTTTCAACCACAGACTAGATAGGTATCACTTCTGAGTGGTCTCATAATGTTTTGTTATTTTATAATAAGTTCATGTGTGTGCCATTTCCATAACACTATGAGCTCCTTCTGGGAGAGACTGCTTTATTCACCTCTATATTCCTAGTACTTGGCATAGTACTTTATCTTTTTAGGTACTTAATAAATGTTTTTCAATGAATGAATGGATGACATGTACTTTCCTGGACTGTGTTTGCACACTGTCATTCCTCCTCTGTACATTTTCCCTGTACATTTTCTTTCATTTTCATGTTTCATCTAGAAGTAATCGAGAGGATATTATATACAAGGGACTCTGTAAACACCATATCCTGGCTCAGACCTCAGGAACCTTAGCATGATGTTTCCAAAACAGAAAAAATACGTAAAGGATAATGGCAAAAGAAAGCAAAGTAGCACTTTGTTAACCAGGCTTTTGCCCCAAAAACTCAACATAGAAAATACTGGTTACCTGGAATGAAGCAAGTGGTGCATCCTTTTTCCTGTGAAACCAATACCACACATCTACCAACACTAGAAGAGCAGGAGGGGAGAGCATGTTTGTACTTGGTGCTTTGTGTCAAGCCAACTGAAACTTCACTTGAGTTATTGGCACTGGCTAGGATCTGACCCATAGAGGGAAAGTGAAAAGAAGAATCAGGAAGCCGACTTGGCCTCTTCCCTTTTGGATAGGCTTACCAGTTCGATGACATTACTGGAAGTGGAAGAAAAGGCTGTTCTCCAGGCTTGACAAGCTCTGGGTCTAGAGAAATATCATCCCCTTACTCCTAACCCTACCTTCGCCTAAAACCCCACAACTTTAATACCTCTTGTATGTTGATAACTCAAATCTTTATCTTCAATTCACCCGCCCTTCTACCATTCTGTAACTTATAGGCCAACTCTTGTCATTAGAATGTTCTTTATTACCCTCACATGCCCTGACCTTAAGTGTACAGATAGAGAAGAACCTGGAGAATCAACTTTTACCAAAGATTAAGAAAACCTCTCATGATGATTTTTTCCTCCTATTTATACATGAGAATCTCAGATAGAATGAAAGTGTGCCATTCTCTTTGAACACATAGGTACTTAGTTAAAAAGCACAATCTAATACTCTATTTAACTGTTTCCTTTTTAAATAATATTAAGTACCTGGCATAATTCCTGTTTCATCAGAATTCCTCAATAACTGTTAATTTCCTCCTATTTCTTACCCCCCCCCCAAGAAATGATGTGCCTTAAGAGACTTTAGTTACCGATTGAAATAAAACCTGGTTACCTCATCTTCTTTCTTTCCTATAGTCTCCATTCTAGCCGAAACAGAAGAAATCAAAGCCATTTTGAAGGACAAAGGAATTGATGTGGAGACCATTGCTGAGGTGTATCCCATCCGAGTACAACCAGCTCGTATTCTCAGCCACATTTATTCTAGTCTAGGTAAGATTAGCCAACTGCTAGAGTCAAAGCATTACTTGATAACTTTCTTTCCCTTTTTTTTTTAAACTTCATGACCATGTTTTACTAAACTGGATCTGAAAAGGAATTTAGGGTCTGGAATCCAGTTTTCTAAACCCATCTTGTCTGAGTGGGCTTGATAATTTTAAGTGCATTTTGTGAATCCTTTGATACATAGGACATGGCTATTTTAAGACGATATTATATCTTTATTCCAAGTGTGTGCTTACCTAACATGCTGTCTTCTTTCTTGCAACTTATATTTCTGTTTTGGATACATGCTAATTTTATGTAGAGTAATAGCCAAGGAACTTGTTTTTAGGTCTTTTACTATATTTTTTGTGGTACTGGGATTTGAACGCAGGGCCTTGTGCTTTAAAGGCAGGCACTCTTACCACTTGAGCCACTCTGCCAGTCCTTTTTTTGGGGTGAGTTTTTTTTCCATGATATGGTCTCGCGAACTGTTTGCTCAGGGTTGGCTTCGAATTCCAATCCTCCTGATCTCTGCCTCTTGAGTAGATAGAATTACAGGCATGAGCCACGAGCACCTGGGTGTTAGTCCTTTTTTTTTTAAATTATTTAACAAACTTAGGGATGGACTTTACACATTAAACAAATTACTATACTGTTAACTAAAAAAAGATATGATGGCTGGTAGTATAGCTCAGTGGCAGAGTGCTTGCCTGTCATGTATGAGGCCCTGGGTTTGATCCCTAGCACCAAAAAATGGATATGCAAAATTTCTATACTATTTTTGTGGAAGAATAAATAATGACCCCCCCAAAGATATCAAGGTCTTAATCTCTAGGACCAATGAACATTATATTGCAAACATGTGTAATTAAGAATCTTGGAATGGGAGTGTTACCCTGGATTATTCAGGTGAAGCCGAAGCGCAATCACAAATATTCTTATAAGGGAGACAGAGGGAGATCAGACTATAGAAATAAGAGATGTGATGTTGGAAACAAAAGATTGGGGTGATGTGGCTATGAGCTAAGAAATGCCCACAGCCTCTGGAAGTTACAGATTCTTCCCTGGAGTCCCCAGAACGATCTGGTCATACTGAGACCTTGATTTTGTTTTTAGTCTTATCAAATTTGGATTTTGAGCCATTAAGATTTTAGATTTTCTGTTTAGGATATTCAACTGGTAATGGTAATGTGAATATTCCAAAATAAAAGTCTAAAACCTAAAAGAATTCTGGTCCTAAGCATTTTGGATAAGAGACACTGTACCTGTAACAGCAGAAATACTGCCATCTTGGACTGACAAAGACAGTGAGAACAAGCTGAAAGAAGACTTTTGGGCTTTCAAAGTTCTGCATTCAGGAAGCAGGATGATGGAAGTACTCAGCTGCACACTCATACTACCCTTCAGGAAAAAGAAAGGCTAACTTCAAGGGAAGAGCATTGGACCCAGAGGGTGGAGTGATAAGGCTATGAGCCAAGGAATGCCCATATTCTTTGGAAGAGGCAAGGAATTGGCCCTGCTGACATCTTGATTTTGATTTCTAGCCCTATAATGCTCATTTTGGACTTCTGATCTCCAGAACCATAAGAGTATAAATTTGCATTGTTTTAAGCTTTTAAGTCAGTGATAGTATATTACAGCACCAATAAGAAATAAATATAATCTAAAATAAAACCACAGGGGGTTAGATGTGTAAAAATTTGAGGCCTGAGTATGTAAAAATTTGAGGCCTGAGTATGTAGTTCAGTGGTAGAACACTTGCCTAGCATGAGCAAGACCCTGGGTTTCATCCCCACCACTGCAAAAAAAAAAAAGAGATTGTATCTTAGATACAAACCTTATCAATTAAATGAGTGACTCTTCAAAATACTATTGCAGTAAGGCCAGGCATGGTGGCTCATGCCTGTAATCCCACCAACTCAGGAGGTAGAGATAGGGAGGTTTGCAGTTAGAGACCAGCCTGGGCAAAATATTAAGACCCCTATCTTAATTAATAAGCTGGGTGTGATAACATGCACCTGTGATCCCAGCTATGCGGGAGGCTGTAGGTAAGAGGATTGTGGTCTGAGGCTGCCTTTGGCAAAATTGTGAAACCTTGCCTAAAAAATAACTAAAGTAAACTGAAATTCTAGCTACTCAGGAGGGCAGAGATCAGGAGAATCGCAAACAAGGCCAGCTGGGACAAAAAGTTTGTAGGGCCCCATCACAGGCAATAAAAACAGGCATGGTGATGCACATCTGTCATCCCAGTTACGCAGGAAGCTTAAAATAGTAGGATCTTGGTCTAGGCCAGCCAGGGTATAAAGTGAGACCCTATCTCAAAGATAACCAAACTAAAAAGGGCCGAGGGGCATGGTTCAAGTGGTAGTGCTCTTGCCTACAAATGCAAGGTCCAGAGCTCAAACCCCAGTACTGCCAAAAAAATTCTTGGGAAAGTTCCACAATAACAAAATTGCTTTATGCATACATTAAATGATAGCTCTAATTCCACCAGGAAAAAGAAGTATGTCTTTACCAGGTATGTTAATGTACTATATATGATAACTAAATGGAGTTTTCTGCCTTACTTCAAGAACTCAGTTGTTCATGGTCAGCACCTCTTTCAATCTTTTAAAACTTACTTATTTAGATTTTTTTGATGGTACTGGGGTTTGAACTCAGGCAGGCATCTATCATTTGAGTCACTCTGCCAGCCCTGTTTATTTATTTAGAGACAGGGTTTCACTATGTTGTTCTGGCTTGCCTCAAACTTCTGGGCTCAAGCAATCTTCCTGCCTGAGCCTCCTGTAGCTGGGACTGTATATAGGTGTGCATTCTCCTGTGCTTGGCTTTTTATTTTTTTAATTATAAAGCTAATCAACTTCATAATACATAAGAACTTAGTAAATATTAAGCTCAAATCTTTATGTAATGTGAATTCTTTTCTAATCTGTTAGTGTACATAAATACCTTTCCATGGTTATATTTAGCATATATTAATTTGTGTTCTGTTTGTGTTTATTTACTCTTTTTTATATGAATCTCCACACATTGAAATAGGTATGTGTTATTCCATCAAATTAATTCTTCCCTTAGTATTGGGTAGTTGATTTCTTTCCCAAATCTTTGTTCCTCCATGAATGCCTTTGTATAGATCAGTTTTTCCTTGAAGTATAGTCTCAGAAAAGGAATTCTAGTTAAGAGTATGATTAGCTTTGTAGCTTTTATAGCATATTGTCAGATTATCTTTTAGAAGGACCAACTAATTTATAGTTATATCAATAAGATATAAAATGTTCCTTTCTTTTTTATTACCCTACCAACATTGAATTTTTATCATTTAATTTTGTTAGATTAATAATTTTAATATGGATAAATCACTTTAATTTCCTCTTTAATTCCCAGTAATCAATACATTTTTCCATTTTTGCCTTATTGTTTTCTGAAACTGCATATCTGCCATTGCATTATTATCTAGTGTTCGGGTCTGTACACTCTTGTATATATTTATCAATTCTTCAAAATACACACACACACACACACACACACACACACACACAGAGTGATGTTGGAAATGAACCCAAGGCCTCACACATGCTAAGCAAGCATTCTACCACTGAGTTATATCCCCAGACCTTTTTTTTTTTTTTTGAGACTGGGTCTTGCTTTGTAGCCCAGGCTGGCTTGGAACTTGGCAATCCTCCTGCCTCAGCCTCCCTGGTGCTGGAATTACCCTTTTTTTTTTTTTCTTGAGACTGGGTCTTGCTTTGTAGCCCAGGCTGGCTTAGAACTTGTAATCCTCCTGCCTCAGCCTCCTGGTGCTGGAATTATAAGGATGTGCCACTGTGCTTGACTCTCCTTGTTCTTTAAATATATTTTATGGTAAGCTTTTATCAATGAGATTTTTAATATATGTATTTCCTAGTCTTGTTTTCTCACCTTTGTGCAGATTTTTGAATATCAAGTAAATCCATTTTATCAAATATATTTTTCACTTTTTCAGGAATTGTGAATTTATCTCTTAGTTTTGTCTGAGTAGATATGCTGTTCTGGTTCTAAGTTATCTACTTACCAACTGGCTTCAGGAAAAAGGGAGAAAAGCACAAGGGGAAAAGATAAAAATCAACTATAATTCTACTAGTCTAAGGAACCCACTGTTTTTACTTTGGAGTATGTGTTTCCAATACATTTTTACAAAATAAAACACTCTTGTTTTTTAGAAAAATGTTATCATAAAGAATAGACTTTACAATCTACTTTGTGCAGGATCGCAATATATGATCAACCCTGTCATATTTTGATAGATAGTGTACTATAATCCATTTTCATACCTATATTAGCATAGTTTCAATTTTTGACATATGCTGGGTAAACTTGTTTTCATTAGTTAGTCACCTTTCTATTTATTTTGAAAATTGTCTACTTACATCCTTTTGCCATTTTCTACTAGACAGTTGCCAGTGGTACTGGGGTTTGAACTTAGGGCCTTGCACTTACTAGTCAGGCACTAGAACACTTAAGCCATGCCCCCAGTCCCAAGCTTTGGGTTTTATTTATTTATTTGCAGTACTAAGGGGATTGAACTCCACCTGACATTTGCTAGGCAGGAGCTCTCCTGCTTGAGCCATTCAACCAGACTGCCCCCTCAAGTTTTTTTTTATGTGTTAGTAATGTGGACCCTTTGTCTTCCATACATTTTTGTAATGGTTTATTATTTTATTATTTACCATTTAATTTTGTGTTTGCTTTTGATATACAGAATTTTTATGTTTGTATGTAGTAAAATTTTATTTTCTTTTGCTGTAATTCTTTAAGAGATAGACTCATTCCTAGGTCAGATGCATTTTCACTTCATTTTCTCTTAATTATTGATGCTACAATTTTACATTTAACTCTTAAGTTAGAATTTTAATTTTAATTTACCCTATGAGGTAAAAATCTAACTTTTGGTCAAATACTCAACTATTTATCCCAGTACTGTTGATTGAATAGATCATATATACACTATTGGGGGGCAGTACTGGAGTTTGAACTCAGGGTCTTGTGCTTGCTGGGCAGGTGCTCTACCACTTGAGCCACACTCCCCAGCCCCTTTTGGCTTTAATTATTTTTCAGGTAGGGTCTCTTGTTTTTGCCAGTGCTGGCCTCAAACCATGATCCTCCTACCTGCAGCCTCTCGTGTAGCTGGGATCACAGGCACATGCCACTATGCCAGGCTTATTTATTGAGCTGTGATCTCACTAACTTTCCCTGGCTGGCCTTGAACCACAGTCCTCTGTATCTCGGTCTCCTAAGTCTGTGGGGTTACAGATGTGAACAACTGCGCCTAGCTCTGTGTATGTACTGTTGAATATTTTTATGTCCTTTTCTTGCCTAATTGCTCTGGTTAGAACTTCCAATCTATCTCCATGCATCTGTGCTTTTATATGGAAAAACACCCTCTAAAATTTTCATATACATCAGAAAACCCTGTTAGAACTAATAAATTCAGCAAAGTTATCGGGCCCCAAATCACAAAGAAGTTAGGTTAATTTCTATATATTAACACCAAATGATCCAAAAAGTAAGTCAACAAAATACTTCCATTTACAATGGCATCAAAAAGAATAAAATACTTAAGAATAAGCATAACCAAGGAGGTAAAAGACATGCTGAAAATGACAAGACACTGATGAAAGAAATTAAAGAATACACAAATAAATGGAAAGACTTCTCATGTCTATAGGTTAGAAGATACAATATTGTTAAGATGTCATTACTACCCAAACCTTTCAACAGATTGAATATAATCCCTATCAAAAGCCCAATGAGGGGCTAAGGGTGTGGCTTAATGGCAAAGAGTGCCTGTCTAACATGTGTAAGGCCCTGGGTTCTATCTCCAGCACTGCAAAAAAAAAAAAAGCTGCATGAGGTTTTTGCAAAAAGAGCAAACTTAATTCTAATATTCATATGGAACACAAAGGACCCCCTCCCAAATTCCCAAGCCTGTCTTGAAAAGGAAAAAAAAATTGGAGGACTCAACCTTTCTTTTTAAAATTTTTTTCTTGGTGTTGTTTGTTTTGTTTTGTGGTGCTAAAGATTGAAACCAGGACCTTGTACTCACTAAGAGGTTCTTGAGCTACACCCTTAGCGCAGGGCTCATACTTTCTAATTTCAAAACATACTGCAGGGCTACATTAATCAAAATATGGTACTGGTATAAGGTCAGACGTATAGAACAATGGAATAGAATGGAGATCCCGGAAATAAACCCTTGCATATTATGATCAGATGAAAGTGTGCCTTTTAATAGAGGAAAGGACAGCCTTTTCAGCAAACTATATATTAACATGCAAAATGTAAAGTTGGACTATGTACAAACAATTAACCTAAACTGTATTAAAACCAAATGCAAGATCTAAAACTATAAAATTCTTAGAAGAAAATGAGAAATGAGGTGTGTGTGTATATATATGTAAAAAATGTTTGCTGCTTTCTTTAATTTGACTATATTTTGATTCTGTGTCAGGATGCAACAGTAAAATGAAACTAAGTGGACGACCCTACAGATTTATGGGAGTGCTTGGAACTTCAAAACTGTATGACATTCGGAAAACTATCTTTACCTTCACTCCACAGGTGAGTGAAATAATCCAAAATATGTGTTGAGATGAGTGGAAATGAGGGGAGAGAAAGAGAAAGAGGGGATGGGAAGAGGGGGAGAGAAAGACAAAATGAATGAGAGAGGGAGGAATAAATGAAGAGAGAGAATGAATGAGGAGAGAGAGAGAGAAAGAGAGTGTAAATGAACTTTTATTGGAATTGGGATAAGTCAGAGAGTTGCTCAGTAAACATTTGTTGAGTTGAACTGAATTGAACTTGCAGCACAGAGTTAAGCTAAGTGATCACAACTACTAAGAGTAACCCAGGTGTTAAAAGAAATCGTTTTGTTTAGATTTTTGTTTTCTTGCTGTGCTGGAGGTAGGACCCAGGGCCTTGCACATGCTAGGCAAGTGTTCTACCACTGAGCTATATCTCCAGCCCCTGTGATTAGAGATTTTATGAATGTTAGAGTACTTTTAAAGTTTCCCTTACTTTTAAAAGTTAAACTAAGACTGCGTTTGTCCTTTATAAGAAAAATGCACACTTTTTATTCAGCTACTAAGTTATGTGTTTCTTTGTGGGAGGAGTCTTTTGATATGCATGGAAATCTTCAATATCTTCTAAACAAAATATCAGGACTGTTAAGCTGGGATTATACATATTGTTAGCCTGACATTTTTAGCTACATTACAGTAGCAAGAAAGCCCAATTATATGTGTGTGTGGTGAGGAGAAATTATTTTCTGAAAATGAAATCAGGTGTGGTGATGCATGCCTGTAATCTCCACACTTGGGAGGCAGGGGCAGGAGGATAGTAAGCTTCAGGTCAGTCTGGGCTACATAGCAAATTCAATGCCAGCCCAAGCATATGTAGTGAGATCTTGTCTCAAGAAAACAAGGATTGAGGATGTAGCTCAGTGGTAGAGTACTTGCCTAGAATGTGCAAGACGATGCATCCTGTCCCCAGCACCACACACACAAAATATTTTCTGGAAAGAAATTGAAACTCCTCATTTGTCATCTTACATATGAAATAGTACAGCTGAGGTAGGTACAGACAAAAGAGTAATGGACCATAGACTCTTAATTTCTGACCTTGCCATTTGCTAGCCATATGCTTTTGCTCTTCTACATATTGTCTCTGAGCCTTATTTTTCATCTATTGAAGGAAGAAAGGCAAGCCTGGCATGATGGTATATCCCTCTAATCCTAGCACTTGGGTGGCTGAGGCAGGAAGCCAGCCTGGGCTATATGCTGAGACCCTGTCAAGGAAGGAGTCTGCATAGTAAGACCTTGTGAAAGGAAGGAAGGGAGGCAGGGAAGGAGTTAGGAAGGAAGGAAAGACTCACACTAGATGGTTATAGGATTAAATAAAATTATATACTTGAAAAGATTTGTAATCTGTGGCACACTTTTAAAATGTCTGTTTGACCACCACATACTTGAGAAGTGTTAGGTATTAAATTTGGTAGTATTATTACTTCTGTGACATTTTGTATACCTTTGTGAATTTATGACCATTAAAAATATATTTGATAGTTATGAGAGAAACTTGTTCTAAATTATTATTTTTCTTTTTCTCAGTTTATAGACCAGCAACAGTTCTACCTGGCTCTAGACAATAAGATGATAGTGGAAATGCTCAGGACCGACCTCTCCTACCTCTGTAGCCGTTGGAGGATGACAGGCCAGCCTACCATCACCTTCCCTATCTCACACACCATGCTTGGTAAGGACTCTGCATCAAGGAATGAGTTTAGACATATGTTTAGTCCTTCTACATCCAAGAGTTAGTGACAAGCTACTTCTTATGATTTATTCTTTTCAGCAGTACTTGTTGGCTCCTCTCTTGTATCAGGTGATTTTCTAAGCACTGGGGACACATGGGGTAAATAAGGCATGTGAGGTTTCTTCTCTTATGGTGCTTATGTTTTAGAAGGTGAAGACAGACAGTGCACATGAAGCAAACAGATACACAAGAATATTTCAAATGGTTGGAGAGCCAAAACTTTTTACAGTGTAGCAGAAAATAACTTGATTAGGTGCCTACTTTAAATAATTGATTTCTAAGCCGAGTTACATAAAGTATCTTCATACAATTCTTTTTAAAGAAGTAATGCTACATTCTGTATCTATTTTACTGCAGTGAAATAACAGGATTTTTTTAAACTATAATTTTTTCAAATGTATTCAGATTCCTACAACCTATTTCTTTTACTTTTCTTTTTCTCTCCCTCCCTTTCTCCTTTCCTCCCTCCCTTTTTTTCTCTCTCTCCCCTCCCTCCCTCCTTTCCCCCTACCCCCCCACCCCCACTTCTACTTCCAAAGCTAACTGAAGCAGAGAAAAAGTAAAAAGGCTTTTGATTTATCTTTCTTTTCTTTTTTTTTTGGCTATGCTTCCTGACATTGCTTACTTGAAACTGAGTGAAAGACTTTATTGTTCTCTCCATTTCTGGGGGACTAGAGCCAATACTGAAGTCACTGTTTTCTTTCTGCGTTTCTGCTGTTGCTTCCAGGGGTCTGTTTGTGCTGCCAAAGTGCATAGAATTCCTTTTCATTGAAGAAGAACCCCTTATTAAAAATCATTCAAAATCCAGACAGATTGTTAGGAATTTTGGTCACATCTCAAAAGTGCTTTAGAATAACAGGAGTCGAGGAAGTAAGGTAGTCGTTCTTCTTTTCTGTCCTTTATTTATGACAATTAACAAGTTACCCATTTAATAGCTACTATGTTTCTACACTTGTCTTCAGAAAGTATAAAGTCTAACTGGAGAGAGGCAAAGTTAACACATAAGAGTAATAGAAAGTTCAAGACAGTATATTAAGAAGTACTAAACCATTAGATTCATATTTCACAGTGAAAGTTATCAGGTTGTCAAAGAAAATTTCTCAGCTGAGCTTTTTGGAATTGTTAAGATGCAGATGGGACAAGGAGGGAAATACCATAAGTGAAGGCTAGAAGCAGGAATGAGTTTGGACATAAGGCCTGTGGAGTGACCAACCGGAATAGAGGGGCTTTGCATGTTAGAGTATTGTTACATACAAAACTGGAGAAGTAAGATAAGATCAGATTATGAAGGCCTTGAAAATAAGCAGAGATATTTAAAACAGATTTTCTCAGAAGGCTATAATTATCAAAAGTTTATGAGTAAGGAGTGATATGATGAAAGTGACATTTAGGGAATATTGGTTGGTTACAGTACACATTGTAGTGAGGTAGTGATGTCAAGGAAACTGATCCACTTAAAAGGTGAAAAGACGATGCACTTGATTAATAGAATTAAAAACAGAATGGAAAGGATACAAGAGTCATTTTATTTACTTATTTATTTATGTCAGATTGGTGATGTGTCAACATCATAACAAAGTTTGAGGGAGGCACATGTCATGCAATGGCATGAACACCCAATCACTATGCTTATGAACCCAAAAAGAATCAACAAGAGTCATTTTAAACAGCACCTATAAGTCAGGTATTGGCTAACTAGTCATGACAGACAAATCAAGATGACACCAAAGTTTAGAGATGAGGTGTCTTAGTCCATTCATGCTGCTATCACAAAATACCACAAGCTGGGTAATTTGTTAACAATATAAATTTGTTTATTACAGTTCTGGGACAAGGTGCTGGCAATTTGCTGTCTGGGGAGAACCTAGCTTCTCTACTTCTAAGATGGCATTTTGTTGCTGCATTCTTTGGAGGTGACAAATGTGTTTCCTCACATGGTAGAAAAGATAGAAAAGGGGTAAACCCATTTCCTGAAGCCCTATAAGGGCCTTAATTCCATTCATGAGGGCTCTACTCTCATGATCTAGTCACATCCTAAAGGCACCACCTCTTAATAATGTCGCATTGGCAATTAAGTTTCAACATATGAATTTTGAGGGATGTTTAGAGCATAAAATTAGAAGAACAGTGCTGCCATTGATAAAAGCAAAGATAGTTTATAGGAAGATGCTAATTGTAAAGGGATATGTTAACATATGAAAAAGAGATTTCAGAATTGAAGTACATAGCAATTGGAATGAGATACATAGCCATAGCTTGGGAAGTAGATTTAATAACTAAAAATTTTAAAACTCACTAGATTGACACAACAGCAGGATGGAGACAACAGTGTGAACTTGAAGATAGAATTATACAAATGACCTATCCTGAACAATACATTATAGATGTTTGATGTATAATATAATACCTAGAGCAACCATTAAGAAATCTATAGAAGGAGGGGAAATATACTATGTAAACATCAGTTTTGAAAGAGCGGAAGTAGGGACACTAATATCTGATAAGGTAGACTTTAGAGTAAATGAAAAATACAGATAAAATCATTAGAAGTGAGAAATGAGATATAGTAACAAAAGTGAAGGAGAGTCTAAATTTTCTAAAAGAATACCAAGTATAGTTTTGTATATCTAGATAAAATTGACAAAGTTCCTAGAAAAGTATAGTAGGTGTAAGCTTAGGAACTATTCATAGAACTATATATGAAAAATTATATAACATTTGAACAACATAAAGAAGACTTTAATTACTGAAGAGATACCATGTTCCTAGATGAAAATACTTAATAAAGTATCCATTCCCACTAAATTGTTGTACCAATTCAATATAATTCCAAATAAAAATAAAAACACAACTTTCTATGAACAAACTGAATCTAGATTTCATATGGAAGACAAAATATACAAGATTAACCGAACATTTTTTAGTTTGAACTTAGGGCTTTGTGCTACAAAAATTTTAAAAAGAGCCTGGTGCATCTCTAGCAATAAAAGAAATGCAAATTAAAACCACACTAAGATTCCACCTCACCCCTGCTAGAATAGCCATCATTAGCAACACCACTAACAACAGGTGCTGGCAAGGATGCGGGGAAAAAGGAACCCTCTTACACTGCTGGTGGGAATGTAAACTAGTACAACCACTCTGGAAAAAAATTTGGACGCTCCTTAAAAATCTAAACATAGATCTACCATATGATCTAGAAATACCACTCTTGGGGATATACCCAAAAGAATGTGACACAGGTTACTCCAGAGGCACCTGCATACCCATGTTTATTGCAGCACTATTCACAATAGCCAAGTTATGGAAACAGCCAAGATGCCCCACTACTGACGAACAGATTAAGAAAATGTGGTATTTATACACAATGGAATTTTATGCAGCCATGAAGAAGAACGAAATGTTATCATTCGCAGGTAAATGGATGGAATTGGAGAACATCATTCTGAGTGAGGTTAGCCTGGCCCAAAAGACCAAAAATCGTATGTTCTCCCTCATATGAGGACATTAGATCAAGGGCAAACACAACAAGGGGATTGGACTTTGGTCACATGATGAAGCGAGAGCACACAAGGGAGATAAGAGGATAGGTAAGACACCCAAAAAACTAGATAGCATTTGTTGCCCTCAATGCAGAGAAACTAAAACAGATACTTTAAAGCACCTGAGGCCAATAGGAGAAGGGGACCAGGAACTGGAGAAAAGGTTAGTTCGAGAAGAATTAACTTAGAAGGTAACACATATGTACAGGAAATCAATGCATGTCAACTCCCTGTATAGCTATCCTTATCTCAACTAGCAAAAACCCTTGGTCCTTCCTATTATTGCTTATACTCTCTCTTCAACAAAATTAGAGATAAGGGCAGAATAGTTTCTGCCTGGTAGTAAGGGGTAAGGGGGATTTGGGGGAGAGGGGAAAGGGAGTGGTGGGGGAAGGGGGGAGAAATGACCCAAACATTGGAATAAAATAAAAATAAAAAAAAAGAGCCTGGTGCATGCCTGTAATCCTAGCTACTTTGGAGGCTGAGATACAGAGAATAGGAGGATCACAGTTCAAGGCCATCCCAATTAAATAGTGAGATTTCATCTCCAAAATAACCATACCAAGGTAGAGTGAAGGTGTGGCTCAAATAGTAGAGAGCCTGCAAAGCACTGAGTTCAAATTCCAGTCCTACCAAAAAATAATTTAAGGGAAAATATGAAAAAGATCCATCATAATTAAAATAATAATAATGATAACATTTTAAATAGAGGTAAAAGAGGAAAGCTAACCATAACAAACCTATGAAAATATTTGAATGAAATAATGGGAGAAATGTTTTTTATAAATCTAAGGCTGAAGAAAGCCGTCTTTTATAAGACACAAAAGAAAAAATAGAGAAATTTAAAAGCATGAATTTTTAAAGTGAATCTTATATAAAAACATCAGGGACAGGAGTAAAAGACAAAGTAGATTAAAGTATTTTCCATACATACGATAGAGTAAATGGTAATATTCACAAAACATGGAATACTCTTGAAAGTCAATTGAAAAAAATATAAACTACCTAATGTAAAAATGAGGAGGGTCCTTAATAGGCAATTCATAAAAGTAATGCAAATGACTAGAAAGCACTTGAAAAACATGCTCAATCTTATTGGCAGTAAAGTCAACAGTGTCTTCTTGTTTTATGTACCATATAAACAAAGATTTAAAAAAGTATTAGTGTCCATAGTTGCTAAAAGTATGAAAAGGCAGTCTTTCTATACTGTTGGCATAAATATAATTGCCACAACTTTTCTAGTGGTAATTTGGCAATCTCTATACATTTTTTAGTATGTTCCCTTTGTCTTTAACAGCTGTACTTGTAAAAATTTAACCTAAAGAAATAATAGAATAAGTACATAAATATGTAGGTATAAAGTATTGATTATAATATAAAAACTGTCTAAATGTCTGCTATATAATCATTTTTAAGCTATTACAAATGATAAATCAGAAAAGATAGATCATGAAAGACTATGTGCAGTATGATCACTTTCACATAAAATGAGATCATTGTTAGCCTTCTAAACATTTTTATGCCTGTGCACACACATAAGCCAAAGTATATTATGAGAAATAATGTATGTATAACATTTCTCACAGTTCTTGGCACAAAACATACAACAAATAGTTGCTGCCGTTATTGTCAGCATGTAGTAGTCACTGTGCTAAGTGTGTATGATAGATAAGGTACTGCTTTTGAGAACTCTGTTGGTCAAAATCCCTCACCATTTTCTTATTCTGCAGTGTTGTTGGTTTTCAGATTAATTGTTAAAATACAGGGTGATCAATGAGGAATGTCTCATTTATACCATTGCCACCAGAATATTAGTTTGAATAATCAAAATATTTACCCCTACTTCAAAGTAAAAACTACAAACATTGTTTTAAAATTCTCTCCATTTCAAGATGAAGATGGAACCAGCTTGAATTCAAGTATTCTGGCAGCACTCCGAAAAATGCAGGATGGCTATTTTGGTGGGGCAAGGTAAGTGACCCATATACTCTCTTTAGTGAAGTGAAATAACATTTGGGAACTGAGTATAGTAATGGCAGGCTTTTAATGCCTTTTTCTATGTCAACAACATAATTCATCCTATTCAGAGGTGCTATTATTTGATAGACTGAATCAAAGAATTTAGGGCTGGCAGAGTAGCTCAAGTGGTAGAGTGCCTGCCTACCAAGTATGACCCTGAGTTCAAACCCCAGTTCTGCCAAAAAGAAAGAAAAAGAAGCAAATAAAGGATTTGATGTTAAAAGGAAGGTTGGAAGATTTTCACACCCTGTTCGTTGCCTAGATATCAGGACCAGAAAACTTATTCTTAAAAAAAGTTACTGAATTTTATGCAATCCTAGCTGCTTTTTTTCTTTTTCTAAGTTTTTATTTTGAAAAATTTTAGGTATACAGAAATTTGCAACAGTAGCTCTGAACACCATATACCTCTCTCAAGATTCACCTGTTGTCAACATTGTGTTGGTTCTCTCTCTCTCCCTAACTTCCCTTCCTATCTACTCCTATCACACACATATATACATACACTATATATAATATTATATATACATACATAGACTTTTTTGCTATGAAGGTTAGCCATAGACATCATGACTCTTCAATCCTAAATGCTTCAGCGTATGTTGTTTAAGAACAAGGACATTATCATTACACATAGAAAACTTCATATTGATTTGCACTTCAGTAGTCCCCCACTGGGTATCTATGAGCCCAGAGATCAATACTATCCGATGTTGCAATATATCCAGTAGATGGATAGTACCTATAAACTAGGTACACTACAAGATTAATAACAATAACTAAAAATAGAATAAGATACCAATATACAGTAATAAAATTACTTAGAATTTGTGTCTTATTTATTTTTATAATTTTCCACTTAATATTTTTGGACAGTAGTTGTTGATTTGAGTAACTGAAACTGTGGAAAAGCAAACCCACAGACAAAGAGGAAATACTACACTTAATATCTTGATATAGAGCCCATATTTAAAATTACCCAATTTTCCTAATAATTGTTTTTTCCATAGCTTTTTTTCACTATCCAGGACCCAACCAAAAGGTTAGATTAGCACTTACTTTATATCTCCTTTTGTCTTTTAATCTAAAACGTATCTTCAGCAATTTCATTAAATTGTCAGTTACATTAAATTTTGAAGAATGTAGGTCAGTTGTTTCACAGCATGCTTCTCAATTTAGAATTGTCTGGCTGTTTTGTCTGATGAGATTAGATTGTTTTTTGTAGGAATAATACCTGTGTGAAGTTGAATCCTTGTTTTTAATTTAATATCTTTTGAGATGGAAATACAAAGATTTTGTTACTTACTCCTCCCTGGTGGGGAGCAGAAAATGGGCATGCCCAGAAGCCCCTCACACAGCACACACACGTGTGTGCACACAGGCACAATGAGGCTGTGGGGAGGGGATAAAACAACCATGGCTAACACCCTTATGGGATCTGGGACATTATCTAAACACGGTTTCCCATGGAAATTTAATGGGTGGGTTTAAAGCAAGTAAGCATAAATTTCCAGGACGGTCACACTGACTCAAAATGATCACTGTGCATATCTGCATAATCTATGCAGGGTGTGGAGGTTAGCATGCAGTCAAATAGACTATTCCATAGAGAGGTGGTCACCAAAAGGTTTTTTTTTCTTTTTTCACACCATGCTGGGAATCAAACCCAGGGTCTTGTTCATAGTGTCAGCCTTCTATCTCTGAACCCCAGAAGAAACTTATATAAAACAGATTATCTGGATTCGACCACACTGAGCATTACAGCGGGAGATGTAGAACAAGAAAGTGTGGAATGAGCTGAACCCTAGTTCTAGTATAGAGAAAGTTAAATTTATGTTCATATTGAAGCAACCCCTTCTTGGGGTGTCATATCATAAGGAGCATGAGATTGTTTTTTTACATTATGGGTATTGTTAACTTTGATGACTTATTTAAAGTGGTGTTCCTGAACCAGGTGCCAGTGGCTTCATGCCTATAATCCAGCTACTCGGGAGGCAGAGATCAGGAGGATTGCAGTTCGAAAGCCAGCCCAGGCAAATAGTTTGAGAGACCCTATCTTGAAAATACCATCACACAAAGGGCTGGAGGAGTGGTCAAGGTGAAGGCCCTGAGTTTCAAGCCCCAATACTGCAAAATAAATAATGAAATAAAGTGGTGTCTGCCACATTTCTCCCTATCCTTTCCCCAGCAGTCTTTCACCAAATGGTGTTAGCTTCCATTGATTGTTGCCCTGAATGTATTATTATTAATTGAGTTTACAAAATGGTGTTTTTGTGTTTCTATTATTCGTATACATTCATTAGTTTAGAATTTTTATTATAGAAAGCTTTCCCTTCTTTTATTTTGTAGATTAGTATCAGCATACTTTAATGGATTCTTATTTTATTCAAAATGTCATGACCCATTCCTGTCATTATTTATTTCACTATTCAGATTATCCAAGGGCTGGCCATTGGTAGCACCTTCAAGCTGACTTCTTTAGAAAATTAGTACTACTAACTTTCCTTTGAGTTTTGTTTTTGGCTTTAATAACAGGGGAGGATATGGTTATAATCTACTATAATGTATTAAATTTCAAGTACTATGCCCATGTTCAAAATGGTCTCTTGGGGGTATTTTTAAATATGTGATGGGTTTATTGTATTATCTACATCTCTCATGGCTTCTCAATGTAAAATTTAAGACATTTGACATAGTTAGCAACACAACATATGACAATGGAAGTTAGCAAAACTAATTTGCTGGAGGATTGTGAACCTATAATTTTAGCTTTTCTTAAAAGATCTTTAGTCATTTAAGCTGAATATTGCCTAGGAGTGTGTGAAATTTCCACTTGTATAAAACTTTCTATAGTAATAACAATAAACAATAAATGCTAGTAATAGCATCTAACAAAAATGCTAGGTTGAATTATCTGGATGAATAATTAAAAGTTATCCTTTAGCCATGAAGATTGTGTTGTTTCAAAAAGGATCTCCTCAATTTTCTGTTTTCTATTTATTCTCTATTTTGTAAGATTCAAACAGGTAAATTATCAGAGTTTTTGACAACATCTTGCTTCACACACTTGATTCATGGATCCTGGACCTGAGGGTAGCTGTACAGTGAAGATTATGATTGAGGACTATGATGAGCTGGGAATCTGGCAACTGGATGGATGGCTGTGACTCAACCACTAATGTAAGGAGACTTTGTAAAGCACTGACTGGCTAAATAAGAATACAAAATATTGTTTAGCATCATCTTAACAATTCATGCTCCAGTAGCCTCACAGTATACTATCCTTGCTCTTCTTTCAATACACTGAGATTTCTACTTTTTGTTTGGCTTTACTTTTCATACCTCTACTTACCTTTGGTTTCTGATCTAAATATCCCTGTGGTATTGTGGACTATGGAGTTGGATTGTCCCTTACTAAGGTTAGGGAAAGATTTCTTTCCTGAGCATTTGAAGTGGCTGGTGATGTGAAATAGATAGAAACAGTGGTGAGTAATAGATATTTAATCTATGTGTAGTAAAAAAAATCATATGTGTACAGCACTGGCTTTTTGGCATGAAAAAGCATAAATAATGAATTTTAATTACGTTACGCTTAATTAGTCATATTTTTATACATTAGAGGGATATATGAGAATCAATGGGAGGTGTATGTAGTTTGTTAAAGCTATTATTGGAATGCTATTGCTTTCAATAGCAAACTAGAGCAAATGATGTTATAATAAAATCAAACTTTAATTAGTGGCTAGGAATCCAAAGATGATCCAGTGAGAAAGCATTATGATGCGATGAATTAAAAATGGCTGAGAAACACTGCCCTGCAGTGCTAAAATCTATGATCTATGCAGGACAAACATTACATTATTGAATCCAAAAGAGGGAAGAGCCAATATGAGAGAATTGTTCTTCTGGTTATCAAAGTTTGATTTTCTCTTTTTCATTGCTGGGTATTTGACAGTTAGCCTAGAGCTTAAGGTAGCCAATTTTTTTAAGAGTGATAATCAGCCTATAATCCCTGTACTTGGAAGGTTGAGTCCAGCCTGGGCTGCACAGTGAGTCCTGGGCTCAAAAAAAAGTCATGTGATGAAGAAAAGAAATGGTAAGTTTTGCTTTTCTCAGTGACATAGTAATGTGTATTTCATATACAATAGACCCACCACTCAGTAGTAGTTGGAAGTACTATTTCTTTATTTGGGCTCATCATTTGTCACTCTCGATTTACTCTGTATTTGTTTTTGTAAGATATTTTGTGTGTGCTGGGGAGTGGCTCAAGTGGTAGAGCACCTGCCTAACAAGCATGAGGCCCTGAGTTCAATCGCCAGTTACCACAAAAAAGAAGAGTTTTGTTTTGTAAGATAGTTTGAAATTCTTTGTTGAAAAAGTACATTAAATACAAGGTTATTTACTGCTATCAGTAATAATCAAAGTCATTAATTTGTCTATCTTGGCATAAAATACTTTGAAAATTAAATAAGAATGATCATATATTATTTGTTATTTCATGAGTAGCACCCATCCCTTGAATTACTTTCTAACATGTATCTTTTAATGAAGTGTATTACTACAGTTGATGTTAGTCATTCTGAGTCATTTCCCTCTTCTGGATTTTTTTCATTAATGCTTTCACATGTTGAATGCCTGCCAGCTTCTTTGGTGATAGAGTCTCTCTCTACATTCTTCATAATCTCCACCCAAGTGTCTAGATTGTATTCAAGGTTTAAAAATCTTTGTCATTATGATTTCATTGAACGTGAGTTACTTTATTAGAGCTTTGCTAGTTGTCATTGGTCACATCAGAGCAAAGGAAAGTATCTGGAGATATTATGAAAATTGTCTAAAACCAGATTGCTGCTGATTGACCTAGCAGACTTTGGTACTGATATTGA